CTTCTTGTCTTTTTAAAATTATGATTAATACAATGATAAAAAAAAAAATTACGCCAAGTTTCTATATGAATCCAATTGAAAAGGTTGAGAATCTTCTCTGTTTAAGATGATTAAAACAGGTTGTCAGTTATTAACTCGATGGCAATCGTTAACTGTACAGCCATCTGTACGTCATATGATTGCCGGTCGTTCACGTTCGGAAACACCACAAGCTGTACCGGATGGTTTGTTAAATAAACCTTTTGTTTATTTTCATTCTCGCTTCTTTCGAAAAATCTAGATTGGGGTACATCAAAACCACTTGATAAACAATCGATATCAACACCGATAAAACGAAATGAGAAACGTTTTGGTGCACCGGATGAAGTCAAAGGCAAAGAAATTGAAATTTTATGGCCAACTCAACGTGAAATAGAAGAAGGAGAATTTATTAAACCACAATGGGAAAGAAAACAAATTAATGTAAGAGTTTTTAAGATCTGAAATGAAGAGATAAGAGATATTTTTTTAGCATATATGGTATGGTTATGACTACAATGATAAATTTCGTGATGAAGCTAAAATGAAACAACGAATGTTTTCTCTTGTTTCTATTGGTCTTTTTCTATTTTGGTTTAGTTGGCGATATTTTCCTGATCGATTGTAAGATTCGTTTTTATTAAAAATTAATCTTTAAAAAATAATATTTAGATTAACTCATTATTGTCAACGTGAAGCTTATCTTCGTTTAGCATTACGTGAAAGTCTTGGTCTACCAGGTGTTAATTGTTGGTATGTTGATCCAGCTAAAATTGCACCTTATTTACCGAGTGATGAAGAACTTGGTGATATGCCCATTGAAATTTAAATATCTCATTTATAGTATTTTCAATCCTTTATTTATGTAAATTCCTGTGTTTGTTTAGATAATATTTAGTTTTGTTTTTCTAGATGACTTGTTTATTTGTAATTTGGTTAGGTGAAAAACCCATCGAAAAAGTTTTTACTTCATTAAGAATAATTCTTTGGTCAAATGTATTGAATAAACTGGTTGATCAATCGAAAAAATCATTTCTTATGATGTTTGATTCGGATATAAATCGTTCATT